ACAACCTCCATTAGAATGAATGGCTGTTGTATGTAGTTTTTGCTGTGATAGCTAAGCATCCCTTGTTACAACTAGTGTCTCCCATCCTTTCACTTAATCTTAAATCAATAAAGGGCCCAAAACAAAATCAATCACATCATTTATAAGATTTCCATCCTAATGAATAGCTTATTTCTGAAGCAAACATGTGAAAGTATGGCTGCTTTGGGGACATCGTATTTAACACGGTGGCGTTAGATTTACATAAATACCCAGAATTATTACTAAATGTGTGTTCAATCATACCATCATAAAAACACGATGATATTAAAAACTAACCCATATTAAAATGTGATTTTCATCACCATCTACAGTGCCACTCAACATGTAACCGAAGAAAATCTTCAAAATATACAAGTAATTCGTTCACAGTGACCTTGACAGGGATAGTGACCTTGACAGAGATAGTGACCTTAATTACATGTCTAACACTGATCAAATCAGTGACCTTCACAAAGAATGACCCTGATTACCTCTCTAACCCTGATAAAATCAGTGACCTTGACGGAGACAGTGACCTAGATAACATTTTCCACCTTGGTTTAGATTTTTTTACTGCTGTTTATGAACTTGAACTGAGATTGAATTGACATTATTTTCAGTTTTTGTGTATAAGAAGGAATCTTACTTCTCATTAGGATGAGTGTAACAATTAAATAAAAACACATATGATAATTTATTCAAATATTTATACAAATTAAAGAAAAATAAACAGTAATATGATTCAAATCTTAAACATTTTGAAGCTGAATATATTGTGTATAACATATTGTTTAAAATTTCCTCTATAAAATTGTGACAAAAAAATATAATTATCAAACTTTAGTTTTGAAAAAAAAGTAAGTTTAAGTGCTGCTATATTAACAGTTATGGTGTGACATAGTACAGAGCCTCTTCTGAGGTCTTCCAATTATCTGCCATCTTTTACAACTGCTAAACTATTTATAGCCAAATTCTTAAATAACCAAGCTGATTTACTGTAGAGAACAGTAGGGAAATAAAGGTATAGAATAGGAGGCTGACTGTGAGGTCAGAAGGTGAATCACTATGAGGGAGGACTGATTATATAGCTAAGAAGTTCAGAAGGTCAGAAGGTCAAAAGGTTAAACAATGGTGTTAGGATGTGGGATGACAGACTATTTCACATCATTGACATTCATCCTAGGAATCTAAAAGTCATAAATCATGATTCTAGGTATGAAAATGGTAGGTCAGGAGGTGAAATGTCAAATAATGGTGTTAGGATGGGGAGGACTGACAGGGTAGGGGTCAGGAGGTGAAATGTCAAATAATGGTGTTAGGATGGAGAGGACTGACAGGGTAGGGGTCAGGAGGTGAAATGTCAAATAATGGTGTTAGGATGGGGGGGACTGACAGGGTAGGGGTCAGGAGGTGAAATGTCAAATAATGGTGTTAGGATGGGGAGGACTGACAGGGTAGGGGTCAGGAGGTGAAATGTCAAATAATGGTGTTAGGATGGGGAGGACTGACAGGGTAGGGGTCAGGAGGTGAAATGTCAAATAATGGTGTTAGGATGGGAAGGACTGACAGGGAAGGGGTCAGAAGGTGAAATGTCAAATAATGGTGTTAGGATGGGGAGGACTGACAGGGTAGGGGTCAGGAGGTGAAATGTCAAATAATGGTGTTAGGATGGGAAGGACTGACAGAGTGGGTCAGGAGGAGATATAACAGTGGTGTTAAAATGAAGTGAATAGATGACCAACTGAGAGAACGACAAATATACTTAAGCATTAAAAGTTGGCAGCTTACAAAATTACTTGACTGACAATAATGTTGCTGTTAAACCCTGTGTATAGCTTTTACAGGAGCTTTGGTGGTTCTTAACATGCTATGTTATCTCAAAGCACTAAATTTGCTGTGTCATGAAAACATCCTTATGGACGATCCCACGAGTCCTGTAAGTACACAGTAAACATTAAATCTAATTCACAGACAACATCACACACCCATTAAACTTTACGCCCCTGCTCTTTATGTATATAACAGAAATATAATGTCTACCAGTCACACATTATTAATTTTTCAATGATCAAAAATCTCCAGATACTTAGAACCAGCGCTGTACATGTATTTCCTGTTACACAACCTCAAACAAATCATGCCACATGTTTAGTTTTGACATAATTTTACTGCAGTCAAACATCAAAATATAGCAAAAACAGATTTGTCATCAAACAGACTAAACCATACAAAACACATAAACATACAGACAGGATGGTTACCATACTGTCGAAACCATATAGATCATAAATATGTTATTAAAACCACAGATAACAACCTGTTGGTCATTTTGTTTTTTCGAATTAGTTCCAAAGTCAAAATGGCACAACTATAATGACCAAGGAAAACCTATATATGACAGTAGTGAAAGATCTACGGAGTCCTTTACAAGAAAAACAAAACACAAGGGTCCGAGGTGAAATAGATCAAATGACAGAAGATCTATCCAGTCCTTCAAAAGCTCAGAAAATGGCGGTAACAAACATTCACTGTCTAACTTCCAAATGGAAAAACTCCCAAATGGAAGCCTGATAGCCATTTTTTCCTGATCAGACACAAAATCAAATGAGTATCACAACTAGGGAACAATAGCTTCAATGTAAAAAATTTGGAAAATTAAAGTTCTTTTCAATACTTCTCAAAAATAAATAGCAATAACAATGATTGTTTAAGGATGGGAGATGGACATGGACAAACTACCACTAGTTCTTCTGCAGGATTAACTGATATATACCACAGTGTTCAAACCTAACAAATATGTCAATACCGGTAATCCTGTTTGTATATATAACATGTTAGATGAACCAATGACCTATGTAACTCATTGACAGAAACATCCAGTCATTTCCTGAATTCAATTACACCTTATTTTCAATGAAGGCAAATGTCATAGAAACCAATGGTGATGTCAGGCATGGATTACTTCAATAAAACTGATCCCCAGTCACATGGTTTCCTTTGATCCTAGATCAGAATGTTGGCCATAATGCCAGTGATAGAAGCAGCATGCACACAACCAAGGGGAATATACAGCAATGTAAGGGGCGATAGACTTGGCACCACTCCCAGGAGGCTCACCCCTCCACAACAACAACACAACTAATCATTAAAACTTCATGCTAGTTTACTCATTATCCACCAGTATGTAACTACACAACTTACTGGATCAACACTGTATACAGGTGTCTTATTACCAGAATCAACACAGGTATACAGGTGTCAAACAGAATCAACACAGGTATACAGGTGTCTTATAACCAGAATCAACACAGATACACAGGTGTCTTATTAACAGAATCAACACAGGTATACAGGTGTCAAACAGAATCAACACAGATACACAGGTGTCTTATTACCAGAATCAACACAGGTATACAGGTGTCAAACAGAATCAACACAGGTATACAGGTGTCTTATAACCAGAATCAACACAGATACACAGGTGTCTTATTAACAGAATCAACACAGGTATACAGGTGTCAAACAGAATCAACACAGATACACAGGTGTCTTATTACCAGAATCAACACAGGTATACAGGTGTCTTATAACCAGAATCAACACAGATACACAGGTTTCTTATTACCAGAATCAACACAGGTATGCAGGTGTCAAACAGAATCAACACAGATACACAGGTGTCTTATTAACAGAATCAACACAGGTATACAGGTGTCAAACAGAATCAACAGAGATACACAGGTGTCTTATTACCAGAATCAACACAGGTATACAGGTGTCAAACAGAATCAACACAGATACACAGGTGTCTTATTACCAGAATCAACACAGGTATACAGGTGTCAAACAGAATCAACACAGATACACAGGTGTCTTAAAAACAGAATCAACACAGGTATACAGGTGTCTTATAACCAGAATCAACACAGATACACAGGTGTCTTATTAACAGAATCAACACAGGTATACATGTGTCAAACAGAATTAACACAGATACACAGGTGTCTTAAAAACAGAATCAACACAGGTATACAAGTATCTTTTTACCAGAATCAACAAAGATATACAGGTGTCTTATTAAAAAATCAATACAGATATACAGGTGTCCTATTTAAAAAAATCAACACAGGCATACAGGTGTCAAACAGAATTAACACATCTTCCTATATCTACATATACAGGTATCACTTCCTATATCTACATATACAGGTATCACTTCCTGTATCTACATATATAGGTATCACTTCCTGTATCTACATATATAGGTATCACTTCCTGTATCTACATATATAGGTATCACTTCCTGTATCTACATATACAGGTATCACTTCATGTATCTACATATACAGGTATCACTTCCTATATCTACATATACTGGTATCACTTCATGTATCTACATATACAGGTATCACTTCCTGTATCTACATATACAGGTATCACTTCCTGTATCTACATATACAGGTATCACTTCCTATATCTACATATACTGGTATCACTTCATGTATCTACATATACAGGTATCACTTCCTGTATCTACATATACAGGTATCACTTCCTGTATCTCCATATACATGTATCACTTCCTATATCTACATATACTGGTATCACTCCCTATATCTACATATACTGGTATCACCTCCTCTATCTATATACACCAGTATCACTTCCTGTATCTACATATACAGGTATCACCTCCTCTATCTATATATACATGTATCACTTCCTATATATACATATACAGGCATTTTGTGTCATAAATATCTATATACAGGTTTATGTCTCCATACAGGGATTGATCATAAACTAAATAGAGCTTGCACTCAGTTTTATGATGGTATCATGTAAACCTGGCTTTGTGTGGCTGATCTTATCAGCACACCAGTAGTACTTACACAAACATGCACACATCACCTTTGTCGCACTGTCTCATTCTTTTAAATTCTATAGAATACTCATATGCATCAGAAATTTTAGCTTACCACAAATACCTGGCGTTGACGTGGTGGAGCTAACATCTCAATTTTCACTTTCCATTTCACAGACTGATGAGAATTCAACACAAATATCACAGGCTTCCACATAACTGAAATTAAAATCAGACATATTTCATTTTTAACTAATCATAATGGTTTCCTCTCTAAGTGATATCTTTAATTTGTAAGTATCATGCTTCTACCAATCACAATATAATACTTGTCACTTCATTTATAATACTTGATTCAACAATACACTTAGCCCTATAACTTCACACTCTGTTCTTCATCTTAACATCACACGCTGTTCTTCATCTTAACATCACAACCTGTCCTTCAGCTTAACATCACACCCTGTCCTTCATCTTAACATCACACTCTGTCCCTCACCTTAACATCACACTCTGTCCTTCATCTTAACATCACATCCTGTCCCTCACCTTAACATCACACCCTGTCCTCATCTTAACATCACACCCTGTCCCTCACCTTAACATCACACCCTGTCCCTCACCTTAACATCACACCCTGTCCTTCATCTTAACATCACAACCTGTCCTTTATCTTAACATCACACTCTTGTCCTTCATCTTAACATCACACCCTGTCCTTCATCTTAATATCACACCCTGTTCTTCATCTTAACATCAAACTCTGGCCCCCTTATGTACTCTCCTTAACATCACACCCTGTCCCTTACCTTAACATCACACCCTGTCCCTCAACTAAACATCACACCCTGTCCCTTATCTTAACATCACACCCTGTCCCTCAACTAAACATCACACCCTGTCCCTTAGCTTAACATCACACCCTGTCCCTCAACTAAACATCACACCCTGTCCCTTAGCTTAACATTACACTCTGTCCCTTAGCTTAACATCACACCCTGTCCCTCACCTTAACATTACACCCTGTCCCTCACCTTAACATCACACCCTGTCCCCCACCTTAACATCACACCCTGTCCCTCAACTAAACATCACACCCTGTCCCCCACCTTAACATCACACCCTGTCTCTCACCTTAACATCACACCCTGTCCCCCACCTTAACATCACACCCTGTCCCTCACCTTAACATCACACCCTGTCCCTTACCTTAACATCACACCCTGTCCCTCAACTAAACATCACACCCTGTCCCCCACCTTAACATCACACTCTGTCCCTTACCTTAACATCACACCCTGTCCCTCACCTTAACATCACACCCTGTCCCCCACCTTAACATCACACCCTGTCCCTTACCTTAACATCACACCCTGTCCCTCACCTTAAACATCACACCCTGTCCCTTACCTTAACATCACACCCTGTCCCTCAACTTAACATCACACCCTGTCCCTTAGCTTAACATCACACCCTGTCCCTCAACTAAACATCACACCCTGTCCCCCACCTTAACATCACACCCTGTCCCTCACCTTAACATTACACCCTGTCCCTCACCTTAACATCACACCCTGTCCCCCACCTTAACATCACACCCTGTCCCTCACCTTAACATCACACCCTGTCCCTTACCTTAACATCACACCCTGTCCCATACCTTAACATCACACCCTGTCCCTTACCTTAACATCACACCCTGTCCCTCACCTTAACATCACACACACCCTGTCCCTTTACACTTAACATCACACCCTGTCCCCCACCTTAACATCACACCCTGTCCCTTACCTTAACATCACACCCTGTCCCTCAACTTAACATCACACCCTGTCCCTTACCTTAACATCTGTCCCTGACCTTAACATCACACCCTGTCCCTCACCTTAACATCACACCCTGTCCCTTTAACATCTTAACATCACACCCTGTCCCTCACCTAAACATCACACCCTGTCCCGCCTCTTATCATCACACCCTGTCCCTCACCTTAACATTACACCCTGTCCCTCACCTTAACATCACACCCTGTCCCCCACCTTAACATCACACCCTGTCCCTCACCTTAACATCACACCCTGTCCCTCAACTAAACATCACACCCTGTCCCTTAGCTTAACATCACACCCTGTCCCTCAACTAAACATCACACCCTGTCCCTTAGCTTAACATCACACCCTGTCCCTCAACTAAACATCACACCCTGTCCCTTAGCTTAACATTACACTCTGTCCCTTAGCTTAACATCACACCCTGTCCCGAACCTTAACATCACACCCTGTCCCTCACCTTAACATCACACCCTGTCCCTCACCTTAACATCACACCCTGTCCCTCACCTTAACATCACACCCTGTCCCTTACCTTAACATCACACCCTGTCCCTCACCTTAACATCACACCCTGTCCCTTAACATCACACCCTGTCCCTCAAACATCACACCCTGTCCCTTACCTTAACATCACACCCTGTCCCTCAACTAAACATCACACCCTGTCCCTTAACATCACACTCTGCTTAACATCACACCCTGTCCCTCACCTTAACATCACACCCTGTCCCCCACCTTAACATTACACTCTGTCCCTTAGCTTAACATCACACCCTGTCCCTCACCTTAACATTACACCCTGTCCCTCACCTTAACATCACACCCTGTCCCACACCTTAACATCACACCCTGTCCCTTACCTTAACATCACACCCTGTCCCTCAACTAAACATCACACCCTGTCCCCCACCTTAACATCACACCCTGTCCCTTACCTTAACATCACACCCTGTCTCAACTAACATCACACCCTGTCCCCACCTTAACATCACACCCTGTCCCTCACCTTAACATCACACCCTGTCCCCCACCTTAACATCACACCCTGTCCCTTACCTTAACATCACACCCTGTTCCTCAACTAAACATCACACCCTGTCCCCCACCTTAACATCACACTCTGTCCCTTACCTTAACATCACACCCTGTCCCTCACCTTAACATCACACCCTGTCCCCCACCTTAACATCACACCCTGTCCCTTACCTTAACATCACACCCTGTCCCTCAACTAAACATCACACCCTGTCCCTTAGCTTAACATCACACCCTGTCCCTTAGCTTAACATTACACTCTGTCCCTTAGCTTAACATCACAACCTGTCCCTCACCTTAACATCACACCCTGTCCCCCACCTTAACATCACACCCTGTCCCCCACCTTAACATCACACCCTCTCCCTCACCTTAACACCACACCCTGTTCTTGACCTTAACATCACACCCTGTCCCCCACCTTAACATCACACCCTGTCCCTCATCTTAACATCACACTCTGTCCTTCATCTTAACATCACACCTTGTCCCCCACCTTAACATCACACCATCTCCCTCACCTTAACACCACACCCTGTTCTTGACCTTAACATCACACCCTGTCCCTCACCTTAACATCACACCCTGTCCCTTACCTTAACATCACACCCTGTCCCTCAACTAAACATCACACCCTGTCCCTTAGCTTAACATCACACCCTGTCCCTTAGCTTAACATTACACTCTGTCCCTTAGCTTAACATCACAACCTGTCCCTCACCTTAACATCACACCCTGTCCCCCACCTTAACATCACACCCTGTCCCCCACCTTAACATCACACCCTCTCCCTCACCTTAACACCACACCCTGTTCTTGACCTTAACATCACACCCTGTCCCCCACCTTAACATCACACCCTGTCCCTCATCTTAACATCACACCCTGTCCTTCACCTTAACATCACACCTTGTCCCCCACCTTAACATCACACCATCTCCCTCACCTTAACACCACACCCTGTTCTTGACCTTAACATCACACCCTGTCCCTCACCTTAACATCACACTCTGTCCCTCACCTTAACACCACACCCTGTTCTTGACCTTAATATCACACCCTGTCCCTCACCTCAAAATACTCCTTTCCCCTACCTTAATTAGAACCGCCATCCAAAGACAGCTAAAACACTGATAACTACAATTAACAGATTTTCAGTCCCAATGACCTCAACATTACCATGGCAACTAAACAATGAATTTTTTGGAAAAAAATTAGTTGTAATTACTGTTCTTCAAAATCCTTATGTAGGAATTTTCTTTATAATCAGATAATTTATCACTATCAACCAATCTGTAGTAATGATTCTGAAAAAACATGATATGTCACATTACAGTCTTTGATGAGTTACATCATTTGACCAAGTTTCATTAAAATTGCTCTTAAGACTGATGAGGTATATGTATGGGCCATCACAAATCAATCTGAGTATAGTGGTCTGGTTACCATGGCGACTTAAAAACTAAAAACCAAACTGCATGCAAATCTAATGATGGTCCTTAACATTCTTGTATAGTTTCATTGAACTACACTTATTTACAAGTTTAGGAGGAGATGTCTTGGCTTTTTTAATGACAGACAAGCTGAAGATTCCAGTTTACATCTGTAGATTAACCTACCGTGTGGGAAATATTACCCACTGTGAAAGAAGGGGAATTTCAGGTTATTTTGAGAAATGACAGAATTTTGGAGAACCCTTAAAGAGAGATATAAGGTAAAATACTACCCTTTTCCAATGGTAAAAATTTGTCTAGATTAATCCCAGACACCTCCCCAACTCCCAAGAATTCCAATGTATTGATGTGAACAGCCTTGTATTTAGAGTTCCCCTACGTTGCACAGAGGTAGCAGAAAACACATGTATTTCTCCCTAAACAGTAACTGTGTCTGTAAACTTTGCCTTGAATCCTGGTGAACCTGTTAACCCTACAAGTCCAAATGAACTGTTCTGATGTGATCTTCACCTACCTTCATGATTACGTGACTTGATAAGAAGGTTGACCTCTGCCACATCATTGCGGTACATAGGTCCAGCGTTGAGCAGGTTAATGACATGAACCTCCTGGTTGGACTCAGTTGTCGAGTTAGTGGAACAGCCTTCTCCTGATGTTAACTGTTCATAGTAAGCCGAAATGTGTGGTGTAGTATAGGGATAGGTTATCACACACGAAGGGTTGGTATTGTCACCTGTAAAGACAGAAATAGATTATTTAATTACTGGACTTAAAGAGTACATCAGGTGATTGTCTTTCATACAAGGATTCATCAAAACCTTGTTGCTTTCAGTTAATTCACCATGAATGGCTACGATTGATTTCAAGGTGAAAATTACTCATAAACAAAATCCTTGTTGAAAACCTGATGAAACCAAACAGAAACATTGGCCATCCATGGTCTGTAACCTAACATAATTTGAAGGCCAAGATTGTGAAACCATAGGGGGGCCTGGTATGACAGTCTTACTGAAACTATGACAAACCATACTGACCAGGTATGACAGCCCTACTGAAACTATAACAAACCATACTGACCAGGTATGACAGTCTTACTGAAACTATGACAAACCATACTGACCAGGTATGACAGCCCTACTGAAACTATGACAAACCATACTGACCAGGTATGATAGCCCTACTGAAACTAAGACAAACCATACTGACCAGGTATGATAGCCCTACTGAAACTATGACAAACCACACTGACCAGGTATGACAGCCCTATTGAAACTATGACAAACCATTGTGACAAAATTGTAGAATTTTTTTTCTGAACATAATGCAATTTTCATAAATCTAACTATAAGAGTATTGCCACCTGAAATGGACTTGGTCTGAGAGTACAACATCTACTTAACAGTGTGTGCAATACCTTCAAAGCAGGCAGCTTAGAGTACAGCATTAGGGGAATTACTGAGATTAATGAGTTTGTGGGTCCACTAAAGGTCCAGATTACTGTGATGATAGAGAAAGGATAAAATGATTGCTACTGTATAAACATCAGGCTTTGTTGAGCTTCTTCAATTCATTTAACTCTAAAACCTCAGAGCTCCTTAACTTGTGAAACATAACAAAGTATATGTATAGTATACATGATGATCAACATAACCCAGGCCAAAGAAAAATTTACCTTTAGCCTTACAGTAAAAATTTCTTAGTATGCAATTAGGACAAAATCATGTGCTGCACATTTCTCAAGTTTTTAAAAAATGCATCAAATTTAAGGTAATTTGGATTTAAAATGCAAACTTCACAGAGTTACAGCTGAAAGTTAAAAAATTCTGGCAGTTATTAGGAAACTAATTATATGTGTAAGAGAAAACCAGCCTACTAGAATGACAAAGTCAAAACCTTTCAAGTACTCGCTTAGTCAGATATTAGGGAGCTGTGTATGGTTACCACTAGTATGGTCCTTTGTATGATAACCACTAGTATGGGAGCTGTGTATGGTTACCACTAGTATGGTCCTGTGTATGGTAACCACTAGTATGGGGCTGTGTATGGTAACCACTAGTATGGGGCTGTGTATGGTAACCACTAGTATGGGGCTGTGTATGGTCACCACTAGTATGGTCCTGTGTATGGTAACCACTAGTATGGGACTGTGTATGGTTACCACTAGTATGGTCCTGTGTATGGTCACCACTAGTATGGTCCTGTGTATGGTTACCACTAGTATGGTCCTGTGTATGGTTACCACTAGTATGGGGCTGTGTATGGTAACCACTAGTATGGGGCTGTGTATGGTAACCACTAGTATGGTCCTGTGTATGGTCACCACTAGTATGGTCCTGTGTATGGTTACCACTAGTATGGGGCTGTGTATGGTCACCACTAGTATGGTCCTGTGTATGGTTACCACTAGTATGGTCCTGTGTATGGTTACCACTAGTATGGGGCTGTGTAAGGTAACCACTAGTATGGGGCTGTGTATGGTAACCACTAGTATGGTCCTGTGTATGGTCACCACTAGTATGGTCCTGTGTATGGTTACCACTAGTATGGGGCTGTGTATGGTCACCACTAGTATAGTCCTGTGTATGGTCACCACTAGTATGGTCCTGTGTATGGTTACCACTAGTATGGTCCTGTGTATGGTCACCACTAGTATGGTCCTGTGTATGGTTACCACTAGTATGGGGCTGTGTATGGTCACCACTAGTATGGTCCTGTGTATGGTCACCACTAGTATGGTCCTGTGTATGGTTACCACTAGTATGGGGCTGTGTATGGTTACCACTAGTATGGGGCTGTGTATGGTCACCACTAGTATGGTCCTGTGTATGGTCACCACTAGTATGGTCCTGTGTATGGTTACCACTAGTATGGGGGCTGTGTATGGTTACCACTAGTATGGTCCTATGTATGGTTACCACTAGTATGGTCCTGTGTATGGTTACCACTAGTATGGTCCTGTGTATGGTTATATTATCTATATCACTGTGACTTGCTCTAACAGAATATATGTTCTGATGAAGATAACAAGGACGGAAATTATTCCAATTGAATAATTCACACCGTTTCACCTAAAAAAAGAACGATGCCTTCCAAGATTTGGGCAATTACTATGTAATAATGTTGCCCTTTATGGCTCCAGGCTTTAAATAGGTTTTACAAACTACATATGCCTGGGTCAAGTTCTTATTTACATAGTGCATGTTTTTTAATTGAATTCAAATCACATTTAGTCGTAGTTTTAAATTTATGTCTTAAACTTCAAATTCAGACACTGTGATAAAAGAGCGATGGTGTGGAGGTCTATTGATATAGTATTTATTTATTGAATAGGTACATAGGTCTGTTTACTAACAAATATATCTATCAACACCAGTAAGTAATACATGTTCACCATTATTCATTAGTGATAACAGGTCATGATCATTTCTCATTCCTAGTAATTGTACTGTTTTTTTTTAATCATTATCACAAAACTTAGCCATGGGAAGTGAAGCGATCACAACATTCCTGACTTAATGTTGCTCAACCACTCCTCACAGAATTTACAACACATTCCAATAGGGCCATTGATTCCTTACCCAGTCACTCTCCTGTACATATACTGTTGATCCACTACTGACAGAGGTACATACATAATATAGTCGCCCAGGTAAATATACAAGTATTTGATTAATAAATACACCAACCAAACTTCTGATTAGCAGGTTTTACCCAGCAGCCCCATCTGTGCAAAGCTGGTAATCAACCTGTATGAACCCTTTGGAAGCCACTGAACCAGCAGTGTCAACAGATAAGGAAAACCTGATTACAGTAAATACTCTCACAATTTGATATCCATAAATACAGATAAGGAAAACCTGATTACAGTAAATACTCTCACAATTTGATATCCATAAATACAGATAAGGAAAACCTGATTACAGTAAATACTCTCACAATTTGATATCCATAAATACAGATAAGGAAAACCTGATTACAGTAAATACTCTCACAATTTGATATCCATAAATACAGATAAGGAAAACCTGATTACAGTAAATACTCTCACAATTTGATATCCATAAATACAGATAAGGAAAACCTGATTACAGTAAATACTCTCACAATTTGATATCCATAAATACAGATAAGGAAAACCTGATTACAGTAAATACTCTCACAATTTGATATCCATAAATCAAAGAACACCAAGATAGTGAAGACGTAGAAGCCTAGATTTTGTATTTCTCTATTTCTAGAGACTACAGACACATGCTGTTTGAAGTATAGGGACAACCCACCCAGGCTGTCTAAAATTAAGGGATACTCCACCCAGGCTGTCTTAAGTAAAGGGATACTTTGTGCTTTTTGAAGTAAGAGACATCTCCTGCTTTTCGAAGTAACAGGGACACCCCAGGCTGTCAGAAATAAGGGACACATTGAGTTTTGGCTGTCTGAAGTAAGGGTCACCCTATAAGATTTTTTGAAATGAAGGACACTCTTGCTGTTTGAAGTAAAGGACATTCCAGGTGTCTGAAGTAAAGGACCCCCAAGGCTGTCTGAAGAAAAGGACCCCCAAGGCTGTCTGAAGTAAAGGACCCCAAGGCTGTCTGAAGAAAGGGACACCCCAAGGCTGTCTGAAGAAAGGGACACCCCAAGGCTGTCTGAAGAAAAGGACATTCCAAGGCTGTCTGAAGAAAGGGACTTCCAAGGCTCGTCTGAAGAAAGGGACACCCCAAGGCTGTTCCAGGTGTCTGAAGTAAAGGACTTCCAAGGCTGTCTGAAGAAAGGGACACCCCAAGGCTGTCTGAAGAAAAGGACACCCAAGGCTGTCTGAAGAAAGGGACACCCCAAGGCTGTCTGAAGAAAAGGACACCCAAGGCTGTCTGAAGAAAAGGACATTCCAGGTGTCTGAAGTAAAGGACTTCCAAGGCTGTCTGAAGAAAGGGACAACCCAAGGCTGTCTGAAGAAAGGGACACCCTAAGGCTGTCTGAAGTAAAGGACCCCAAGGCTGTCTGAAGTAAAGGACCCCAAGGCTGTCTGAAGAAAGGGACACCCCAAACTGTCTAAAGTACATGATACCTCCAGGTGTCTGAAGTAAAGGACATTCCAGGTGTCTGAAGTAAAGGAATCCCAAGGCTGTCTGAAGAAAGGGACACCCCAAGGCTGTCTGAAGAAAAGGACCCCCAAGGCTGTCTGAAGGACAGGATACCTCCAGGTGTCTGAAGTAAAGGACATTCCAGGTGTCTGAAGTAAAGGACATTCCAGGTGTCTGAAGTAAAGGAATCCCAAGGCTGTCTGAAGAAAGGGACACCCCAAGGCTGTCTGAAGAAAAGGACACCCAAGGCTGTCTGAAGAAAAGGACACCCAAGGCTGTCTGAAGAAAAGGACATTCCAGGTGTCTGAAGTAAAGGACTTCCAAGGCTGTCTGAAGAAAGGGACACCCCAAGGCTGTCTGAAGAAAGGGACACCCCAAGGCTGTCTGAAGAAAGGGACACCCTAAGGCTGTCTGAAGTAAAGGACCCCAAGGCTGTCTGAAGTAAAGGACCCCAAGGCTGTCTGAAGAAAGGGACACCCCAAACTGTCTAAAGTACATGATACCTCCAGGTGTCTGAAGTAAAGGACATTCCAGGTGTCTGAAGTAAAGGAATCCCAAGGCTCTCTGAAGAAAGGGACACCCCAAAGCTGTCTGAAGAAAAGGACCCCCAAGGCTGTCTGAAGGACAGGATACCTCCAGGTGTCTGAAGTAAAGGACATTCCAGGTTCTGAAGTTAAGGACTCCCAAGGCTGTCTGAAGAAAGGGACACCCCAAGCTGTCTAAAGTACAGGATACCTCCAGCTGTCTGAAGTAAAGGACATTCCAGGTGTCTGAAGTTAAGGACTCCCAAGGCTGTCTGAAGAAAGGGACACCCCAAGCTGTCTAAAGTACTGGACACTTCAAAGTGCCTGAAGTAAGAGACACTCCAGTCTGTGAGTGGTAACTTCAGCTGACCGATGTGAGGGACAACCTTATATGCTAGAAACGATGGCAAACCAGAGCTGTTTGAAGCTCTTAAGGCAGCAGCACTACTGCTGTATTACCTAGAACAATAACTTCCCCTTCGTAAAACTGACAAAGTTTGTCTATAAATCCACTGATGAGACTGTTGAGAAATTTACATGGAGTAGCTGGGTCAGGCCTCCCCAGATCAGTGGGAGGGAAATGAAGCCTATCATAGGGTGTGATAAGAATCTCCATCATCTCACATGCCTCCTGTTCTAACATACCTCTCTTATAGCCAAAGTATGGGGGGCACAGTGTACACCCAGACACAAACCTCTACTTGGTTAGTGTACTAAACACTGAGAGATACCTCTACTTGGTAAGTGTACTAAACACTGAGAGATACCTCTACTTGGTAATTGTACAGTGTACTAAACACTGCGAGATACCTCTACTTGGTTAGTGTACTAAACACTGAGAGATACCTCTACTTGGTAAGTGTACTAAACACTGAGAGATACTTCTACTTGGTTAGTGTACTAAACACTGAGAGATACCTCTACTTGGTTAGTGTACTAAACACTGAGAGATACCTCTACTTGGTAAGTGTACTAAACACTGAGAGATACTTCTACTTGGTTAGTGTACTAAACACTGAGAGATACCTCTACTTGGTTAGTGTACTACACACTGAGATACTTCTACTTGGTTAGTGTACTAAACACTGAGAGATACTTCTACTTGGTTAATGTACTAAACACTGAGAGATACCTCTACTTGGTTAGTGTAATAAACACTGAGAGATACTTCTACTTGGTTAATGTACTAAACACTGAGAGATACCTCTACTTGGTTAGTGTACTAAACACTGAGATACTTCTACTTGGTAAGTGTACTAAACACTGAGAGATACCTCTACTTGGTAATTGTACAGTGTACTAAACACTGAGAGATACCTCTACTTGGTTGTACTAAACACTGAGAGCGTACTAAACACTGAGAGATACCTCTACTTGGTTAGTGTACTACTACTTGGTTAGTGTACTAAACACTGAGAGATACTTCTACTTGGTTAGTGTACTAAACACTGAGATACTTCTACTTGGTTAGTGTACTAAACACTGAGAGATACTTCTACTTGGTTAATGTACTAAACACTGAGAGATACCTCTACTTGGTTAGTGTACTAAACACTGAGAGATACCTCTACTTGGTTAGTGTACTAAACACTGAGATACTTCTACTTGGTAAGTGTACTAAACACTGAGAGATACCTCTACTTGGTAATTGTACAGTGTACTAAACACTGAGATACCTCTACTTGGTTAGTGTACTAAACACTGAGAGATATCTCTACTTGGTTAGTGTACTAAACACTGAGATACCTCTACTTGGTTAGTGTACTAAACAATGAGAGATATCTCTACTTGGTTAGTGTACTAAACACTGAGAGATATCTCTACTTGGTTAGTGTACTAAACACTGAGAGATATCTCTACTTGGTTAGTGTACTAAACACTGAGATACCTCTACTTGGTTAGTGTACTAAACACTGAGATATCTCTACTTGGTTAGTGTACTAAACACTGAGAGATACCTCTACTTGGTTAGTGTACTAAACACTGAGAGATACATCTACTTGGTTAGTGTACTAAACACTGAGAGATACCTCTACTTGGTTAGTGTACTAAACACTGAGAGATATCTCTACTTGGTTAGTGTACTAAACACTGAGAGATATATCTACTTGGTTAGTGTACTAAACACTGAGAGATATCTCTACTTGGTTAGTGTACTAAACACTGAGAGATACATCTACTTGGTTAGTGTACTAAACACTGAGAGATACCTCTACTTGGTTAGTGTACTAAACACAGAGAGATACCTCTACTTGGTTTGTTGTACTAAACACTGAGAGATATCTCTACTTGGTTAATGTACTAAACACTGAGAGATATCTCTACTTGGTTAGTGTACTAAACACTGAGAGATACCTCTACTTGGTTAGTGTAATAGACACTGAGAGATATCTCTACTTGGTTAGTGTACTAAACATTGAGATACCTCTACTTGGTTAGTGTACTAAACACTGAGATACCTCTACTTGGTTAATGTACTAAACACTGAGATATCTCTACTTGGTTAGTGTACTAAACACTGAGAGATACCTCTACTTGGTTAGTGTACTAAACACTGAGAGATATCTCTACTTGGTAAGTGTACTAAACACTGAGATATCTCTACTTGGTTAGTGTACTAAACACTGAGAGATACCTCTACTTGCTTAATGTACTAAACACTGAGATATCTCTACTTGGTTAGTGTACTAAACACTGAGAGATACCTCTACTTGGTTAGTGTAATAGACACTGAGAGATATCTCTACTTGGTAAGTGTACTAAACAATGAGAGATACCTCTACTTGGTTAGTGTACTAAACACTGAGAGATACCTCTACTTGGTTAGTGTACTAAACACTGAGAGATACCTCTACTTGGTTAGTGTACTAAACACTGAGAGATATCTCTACTTGGTAAGTGTACTAAACAATGAGAGATACCTCTACTTGGTTAGTGTACTAAACACTGATATACCTCTACTTGTTTAGTGTACTAAACACTGAGAGATACCTCTACTTGGTTAGTGTACTAAACACTGAGAGATACCTCTACTTGGTAAGTGTACTAAACACTGAGAGATATCTCTACTTGGTTAGTGTACTAAACACTGAGAGATATCTCTACTTGGTAAGTGTACTAAACACTGACAGATATCTCTACTTGGTTAGTGTACTAAACACTGAGAGATACATCTACTTGGTTAGTGTACTAAACACTG